CTCATCCGCGTTTTCTGTTGGCTCATCGCTTTCTGCTTCATTGTTCAGCTAAACAACACATAGACCAACTAGTCTACCGTTCGATTTGTTTCATAATATGTCTATCTTATCCCCGTTTCTCGCAAAATGTCGTTCTTGATTAGAAAATACCGTGATCTTCAACAATCATATTTGATCTCAGGTTCTGTATCCACATGACATTGATGTGGGTGTGGGTGGGTGTGGGTGTGGGTGTGGGTGTGTGGGTGCGGTTGTAGATGAAAAGAAGACCAACCCCCACCCCCAGGTACATCCATGCCAATCCACACTTACACCTACCCACACCCACCCCACACCCTAGCCACCGAGCACAAACTTTTCGTAGATTTAAATAATCATGAATAATCGAATTAATTGCTGTGGACTTGGTACTCAATATGTTTTCTATTTGCTGATACGTCGAATGAGGATCATCTTGAATTATTTTTCCTGTAGCATCAATTGTTTGTTCATTAACAGATGTTGAAGGACGACCTGAACGTGGAGCATCTTGAACACTAAAATTATCGCGTTGAAATTCACGAAACCAATGGTAGACTGTGTGATCAGAAGGTACTTGCTCCTCCCATGCTTGCACCAAACGGGCATGGCTATCCTTGTGTGTTAAGCCAATTTTCCAATCATATAAAATCATAGTGCGAAATTGTTCACGTGAGAGTTGAAAACTCATATCGAAAGTGATGCGAGGGGGTCATGGAAAAAAAAGAAAAAGTACAACGATGGGTAATGCGTGGACGGCTGAAATTGTGCACATAGTCCTAAATATGTTTAGGTATTATAGCGGAATAGATGTTCTCAAATTACCATTTCTAGAAGAGCTGTATGAAAAAACTTTTGTAGTGCCCTATGTAGATGAAAGAGGTTAAAGAAACAATGACATATAAAGAAAACGTTTAGCGTCAACTCGTGACACCTGTCGACACTATCATGCATATTTTCGAGGAAGCGTCAATTGAGACTAGGCATGTTACGATCTGATCCACAGATTGAGAATCGAGTTGATCCAGATCGAACCTCGATCTAGCTCGACCTCAATCTACTCGGCTCGCAACACGCCTAGTTGCAGCTCGAAACCGAATTAATTTATAAATGGAAAAAACTTCCAGCGTCTCTCTTTTGCTAAAACAGCTTTTTTGTTTGCCTGTAAAATTGAGAAAAGTGTCTTAAAAAAAAAGAGCTAAAAAAAGCCAGATAAATTTCTACGGCGATGTATCAAAAGTTATATGAGTACACTCATTGGCATTAATGGTGATAGGATCGATGCAGCATTTTCAAAATAGCTGATTTTCCATTTTCAAATGTGAAGTGCCAAAACATTTTTTACAGTCCTTTACACTTTAGCTGTGCCAATTTTATTCAAAAAGAAATACTTTCTTTGATTGCCGAATCGAAACAAAAACAAGCACCAGCCAAAGTCACTTTATTGTAAATCAAAGCCAGAATTAAAAATTACAGAGAAACAAAGCCGGATCTTATTAGCAGCCACCATTACTCCTTTGCTTTATTTTCCATTTTCCCAATGACCAGTTTTTACAGTACCATTCGCATATGTCCATGTGCCATGGCCATGTGGATTTCCAGCTTTCCACTCTCCTACATAACTATTACCATTTGAATACATTGAAATTCCATGACCATCCAATACTGCCCGCCCTTAATACTGTCCACAATATCTTGTTCCATCAGGATACATCCAACAACCTTCTCCAAAACAATTACCATTTTGAAATTCACCCATAAATTTTTCACCTTTTGGATATATTATCATACCGTACCCATTACGCAAATCATTTTTCCACTCGCTTATATGCTTATTGCCGTTAGATTCTATGCAAATTCCATATCCCTGACTATGACCATTTTGCCATTCTCCAACGTATGTGTTGCCATCAGGGTGATTCACCTTACCAAATCCGTGATACTGTCCATCTGAATTAACTTCTCCTGTGTATATTGTGCCGTCGGAACTTACGATTCTTTTTATCATTTTTTTTGTTAAATTATGAGTAACTTCTGAAAGTTGAGGGTAACTTTTGGCGTAAATTTCTGGGTAGAAAAGTGACAAAATTAACTTGAGGTTATATGTTCGCTCTTTTTCGTCTTTGGATAAGATGAAAGATAAGAACCTTTCTTCCTTGGACAAAAAGCCAAAAAATAAATCACCTGCTTCTTTCCTTATCATTTATTTACCTTTGCCGCAAGACTTGCCATATAATGTGCGTGTAACATAGAAAATGTCCATTATATTTCACTTCGAATTTTCGTGGAAGTTTTCCTTTGAAACGGCATAGTATCATTATGCTCAGCTTTTTTTATTTGGATATTTGCAAATAAAAGTATAATCCGGAACCGCGCTTCGCATTGGAGATAAGAACTCCTCGGCGAACAAAGATGAGAATATTCTTTGGGTATTTCGCATATTAAAAAGTCTAAAACTTACGAAAGTCAATTTTGCGCGAAGCAAAAAGATTGACAATTTCAGCAGAGTCTTTCTCTTTTTTTCTGTTTCACTTTCGATTGTGAAATTAATATGATTTTCGAATAAATTTTTTTCTTTTCTCTTTCCATTTTTATGAAAATAATTCTTGAGAAACATTTTAAAGGCGGCTTTTTTACGTATTGACGCGGAACCGAAAGTGATCTGCAGTGGTTGTACATTGACATTGAGTTTCGACGAACATTTACCTATTGTGTACGTTGTACCGATAAAATGATAGAAAATAAAGAAATTGTCTATTTACGTCAAGTTCAAACAGAGCCAAAAGTTTATGTCCTTATGGTATTGTGAAAACAGAAATTGATAAAATTTTTTGACCTGCTCCTCTGTCACAATCATCTCCAATTCATTGACATTTTTCAGAACAAGAAGCGGTAGTATTTGATACAGGTAAAAAATAACTGCAGGGTGGTGTGGGTGTGGCTTCGCGTGTGTCTCAAGTTGTGGTTGTGGATTGCTGTATGCGTGTAGCTGAAGATGCGAGTTGTGTGTGACGGAGGTTGTAGATGTGGTGTTTGAGAATGGTTGCGTGTATTGTTCTGGGTATGCGTTTGGAGGTGGGTGTGGGACAGGGTTCGTCAGTCGGTTTGCGTGTGGTTGTGAGTATGGCTTAAACAAATACTGAGGCCAACACCCACACCCTACATCGTGTGTTTTTAACTTGACGTTCTTCTTCCGTTCAAGCAACAATATGTTTGAAAAGAATAAAACAAAAGGATTTTTAGAAAAAAGAGAAGAACAGAGAAAAGAAAATGAAGAAAAAGACGAAAAACAAACGGAATGGCTTGCGAGGAATGTCTCTATACTACTTTGTTGTTTCGTTCGGTAGTTGAGATTTATATTTACTTTGCGTGTGGTGTCGGCGAAAGCAGAAAGAAAGTGAAAAGAACCATCACGCAAGGGGATGTGGATGGGTGTGGGAGGGTGGGTGTGGGTGTGGTGGGTGTGGATGTGAGTGTCGTTGTGGGTTTGTTCTTTCGTCATTCATATCCACGCCTTACACCCACACCCACACCACACATCCACACCCACACGCACACCCACACACACACACACCCATAGATGAACTTTTATGTCGATTTCAATAAAATAATTTTTTTTAAAATAATTACGTTTGAAAAATATTCCATCATATTCCTATTTCATCATTCATTATTTTGTCTATTGAGTTTATGTTTAAAGAATGATTAACATATATATTTGTACTTGATACATTTAACAATTAAATAAATGAAATTGTTTCTCATACATCACTTTCATTATATTTATGGCTTGTTGATGATCGATCATTACTTGACTATACTATTCATACATTATAATACGATCAGGTATATAAGAAATTATTTTATTAGCAACATCACATTACATATGATATTTGTTCATATATAATAAATAGTCATTAATTATGAACATATCGAAAATTAATTAAATTTATTCCTTGTAAAGAATCATGTTCATTAGTTGATTGTTTAAAGGATCTTGAACAATAAAATATAATAAATAATCATGTTTTTTTTTATTACTATATGATAATGGTAAATTAATAACAAATGAAAAATTAATATTGATAAAGAAAATATAAAAAAGATAAAAATTGTATAATGACACTTGTTTATCGTCCATTAGATTCAAATCATTTTGAACATCGATCATATACAGATGATCAACATTTATATATTGTATATGATGCTAATACATTTGGTTTCTATTATTATTCAATAGAATATCGAGATAAATATGAAATATCATTTGATTTATTAGAAAAAACTAGATTTAAATGTTGAAACATTATATTGCCAATAGAGTTGTCGTTTAGTAGTTTGTTTATTTGATGCCTTATATTTATTTAAAGATAATCTTGATTTTTCAACAATTAATGAACTCATTAAAAGTAAGGATAATTATATCAAAATAGAAACAATTTAATATCAAGATTTAAGTCATTTTTTTTTCGTATTGCTTATAAAATTACAAATATTTCTTTTCATACTTTAATTTATATTTTCATAGGAGTCACCAACACTATTCTTATTTCTTGCGTCTTATTTAGCTCTATACTTGAATACACAAGTCTCTCTTTTTAAAAGTGATACTCAAAGAAACTAGATGTTTAAAATGATTTTTTTAATAATGTCGAATACCATGAAAAATTCACTTACATTCAAACAAAATCATTTTGGGGTGGGTGTAGATGTGGGTGTGAGGGTGTTTTTGAAAATAACTTTTTTTAAAATTGTTTTAATGCAGAAATAGACCTTTTGAGAAAAAATAAATTTTTGTCGAAAACACCCGAAATTTTTGTGAAAAAAAAATTTTTTTTTCGAAAAAAGTCTGTTTCTACATAAAAAAGAGATTTTTTCAGAATAGTACTTGAGGACTCTAGGGTTAGGGGCTTCGGACGGGAGACGGTTACCAAACCGTTACCAGTTTTCAGGGAACGTAACGGTAATGTCCCACACCCACACCCACCCGTTTGAGTTTCCAATTCCCAATGAGTTCCCATTGAGTTCCCGACTGCGGGGAACTTGGCCAGGTCTCAAACAGTCATATTGAAGCGATACTGTTTGAAGATTTTTTTAATGAACTTTATGTAAGATAAACTATAAGGAGTAACAATGAAATGATTCTAGATTTAATGAGCATTATTTTCTTTACATGTGCTCATAGTTGACAATGCATAATTAGTTATAGAAATTAATTGAACAAAAACTTACCTTAGTTTTATAGAATTTGTTCATTACAGTTTCAATCACTTGAGAAAAAGCATCTTAATTTGCATAAAACATTGATCCAGTTTAAACAGTTCAATAGAGATTGGACACAAAATTCTAAAGAATGTTTTACTTATCTTAAAGTAT